CTACTACGGCTTTATCACTACGGTTTCAGGTGTACGGGAGCGGTGGCATTCACTTGTCGCGCTTGGCACTCGGCACTCGGCATTTGTTTACGATCCATTGCGTCATTGCGATACGGGCATGACTACGTGAATACTAACAACAACAACAACAACAACTCATCTCTTCCTCTTTCTTCCCGACACGCCCTGCCGGTCACCTCGCCCATCCAAGCCCGATACCCACGCCCAACTCTCGATCCCCGCCCGCCTATCGATGTGTCCTCCCGCCTTGTCAATCCCGGCTACGTATCGTTGAAGACGCGCGCTTCGCTCGGTCGATTCGATTCGTATACGAGATAGCTTGCGGAGGAAGCTACATTATCCTGAGGAGAGCAGGGAGGCAGCTGAACTGCCTGAGCCACATGCCGGCGCGACTGTCGTCAGCCGCACGCTCGAGGAAGTCTTTCTCCCACTCCAGAAGACCCCAGGGCTTGCCGTGGGCGTCAACCTTCCCGAGCATGGCGTACAGGTTCTTCTTTTCGACCCGAAGGTCCACCAGTTCCATATACTCTTGACTGCCAGGAACCAGATCACCAGCTCGCTCCTTGACGATCAACGGCATGCGCAGCAGTTTGTTGCCAGCAATGCAGCCCAGAATCAACCCAAGAGGCTTGTCTGCAGTGCCAAGGTGGCAGAGGGCAGGCATAGGCTTGTTGTAGAGGCCAAGGTTGAGGAAGAGGTCGGTTAACCAGGTGCGCAGTGTACGCACGTCGTCCTGGACGAACTCCTCGAAGAGAGTCGAGGGAAGCGTCTCCCGGCATCGATCGCGGCGGTTGTTCATGTCCATTCTCTCGGTTTGTCGAAGGTGCAGGTGGTTATGATGGGTGTCGCGGGTTGTATGGGGTCGCAGCAGATCTGGAAAGCAGCGCAAGATATGCAGATGCCTCTCCCTGTGGACACTTGTTCGCTTGGTGAAGCATTGCGTACTCTCGCTCTGCACTTTGGACCAGCCATTCAACAATACATCATCGCGACCCTGAGTCCCTGGCCTACCACACTCTCCCCTCTCTTGCCCCTCGCTTTCGCGGGCACAACGCCAATCACACCATCGCCCGCAGCGTTGCCCTGACCCAACAACAATTGCGCGACGGTTCATTGCGCAATCGCTCTCGCTCAACACCCTGGGGGTCTTGAAGCTCCAGACGATTACGTATCGACCGCGCAAGGCAGTAGGTAACCGCTGACTCAGAAGAATTCGGGACTGAACGGGACGGGCCGCAAGACTCTCCCGGGTCTTCCCGCCCAATGCCGGAGCCCATGGAATTACGTATCGAGGTTATCGACTTGCAGCCCTTTTGGGCCAGATCGGGAGTTCGAATCGCCACCGTTTCTATACACAAAAAAACTGATCTTTCTTACTGCATATTTATCGATCAAAAGTACACGGTAAAGTACTAATTACGGCTATAAACACACGGGATGAAAACAGGATAGCAGCATACTCGTAAGAGT